AGAGCGCCAAAAGACATACAACTCTAGATTAAAGTTGACAGTACAGTAGCGACACAAAACTCCCTTCAAGAAACACTAAATGAAGGGTTAATTGTGTTAATATTAAAGGTTATAACTATAAAATAAGACTCACATGCAAATATCAGTTATCAATAGAGTTCATTCTAAAATTCGGCTTGAAAAAACAACAACAAAATACTTGTTAAAAAATGTCAACAACAACAATAAGTATGACAGGTTCCGAGACGCAAGAATCTGCCGTAAAACATGAAAATGTAACTTAATACTCTAAAAAACAGTTTTAAGTATCAGCTAACAAAATAAAGTGTAAGTGCAGTATATGAACTAATAACAGGGTTAAATTCGGCATACTTTCTAGATGAATCTGGTGATTAATTATTCCCGTCATCATGAGCAACTCACCGTTATGACTCCTGGAATAAAGTCGTGCAGATGTGAAAAAAAGGTGTCCAGATGTTTCAGTGAGTGAATGTTAAATCGTCCTTGTGCATTTATTTATCCAACAATGCAAGAGTTTATATGTATAATTCGCTCAATTACGAAGTTAAAAACTACACTTGTTAACGCTGCGTTGTCTCAGAGTGAATCAACTCAAACAGCTGCTTCCAGACATTTAATACTCCGTTTGTTTCTACATCCGCACACATGGGCAACTTTCTGTGAGCGATGCAATCCCCAAAAAGATTAGTTAGTGGTTAAGTGGCATCGTGATAATTTAATTCAACAATTTCTATGTGATCAAGAGTAATCTTTTGGGCTAGATTTGAGGTTAAAAGCAGCAAAAACATGCGTTTAAAACAGGGTCTGTTTTACTCCGCGGATGTGCAGTGAAGTGATGCGGTGCTAACAGTAAATGATCGCATGAAGTTCTGGGAACTCTGCTAAGTCATGAAAAACATGGTTAAATACAAAAAATAAAAAGACACATTTAGAGGAATTAAATTTAAATAAAATAACTAAATTAAATTCTAGAAAAAATATAGAAAATACAGAAAATAATATAAAGAAAAATATGAATGTAAATGAATGAGAAACCCAGAATTAAAATACACAAACAAATCAAAATAACATGAAATGACCATACAATTAAATTCATAAAAATGGAAAGAAAAAGACAATTAAGAAAGTGTAATTAAAAAAATAAATAATGACCATAAAAATAATAAACACAAAATAGTTTAAGAACAAAATAAAAAAATATTAAAGAACATTTTTGTTTTAAATTAAAACATAAAGAGATAAAATAACCTCAAACATAATCAAACGATTATTTATTCAAACATTTAATGAATGAAAGATATTATTCATTACACCGCCCTCTGGCTGTACATGTGTTATCAACACCCAACACTATCCTATTTAAACAAGGGTCACTAGTTATCATTATGTGTTGCGGACATAGGTTACGGGTTACTGCTGGTGCATGGGGAAACAGCGTCCCCCTGTGGTCAGTTACAGGAAGTGCATGTTATGATGTTTAGGTTTATGGTCGCTATGACGACATGAAGATCTTTATTTTGCAGGCTCAAAAAACACAGTGAAATTTAGGGATTATAAAACTAAATATGAAGACAAGACAAGAGTACATGACAAGTATAACGGCTGTTAGTGTTGTTTCCACTTATTCATAATTACCACAAACAATAATACAATCATTTAAAAAATTGCATTGCACATATAACATGTATCATCATCAATAACTACTCCTTTTCCACTGCATTAAATGTATTTATTGAACGTATAGATGCTTTTAGATTGTAGATTTGTAATTGTTTTTATGTGTATACTAAAGCTGCCAGAAAGAAATAGTGGTGGAAATGAAATACTCTAGTAGGCTAAATGTTTTTCTTTGGTTAGTCAGTATTATGCTGTAATATAATGATACAATGATACACATTATACGTGTATTCCCTGAGTAATACACATGGCACTAAACCACACAAATGAAAAACAACTGTGTCCAAAAATGAAAACGTTAAATACATTTTAAAGACCATATTTATACAATAATTTGAGAAAAAGTCCCTTCATTCTGCCCAGCGCTGATTCTGCCCAAACTGCCATGACTCTGCTGTATTTACTTCAATACAATGCATTCTGGTAAATGTAGTCAATTAAACTTTATCGTTCATGATTTTAATAATTTAACAATCTATAATTGTTACAACAATACATGTACTCTTGTTTCTGAGTGAGAGTGACTATAATACAAGTGAGAAAGCATTTCATTTGATTCACGTCTGTAAATATGTTAAAGCTTTACGTAATAGAACTACAACTCCCACAGTCTAGCGTCATGACGTAGTTATAGCAACGGAAAAGGGAGAAGAAAAAAACAGCCGCTTCCGTGATGTTCCTTTATTTACTTAAGAACACATAAGAACATCATATGTCTTATATACAAACAAGTGGACATCTGGGGTAAAGACCTAAATTAATACAAAATGCATTAAATAAATAAATAATGAACAAAACGAAAAAAAACCTGTTCTGGTGACTTCTCTGCACAACCAAGCGTCTCCGCAGCGTGTTGCATTCTGGTAAATGTAGTAAATTAAACTCGAACGTTTGTGATTTCTATCATCTAACAGTCTCTAAGTGTTTTAAAAAGATGTTCCCTCTTGTTTTCAATGATAGTGACTATGCAAAGAGTGAAGGAGTGGTTATTTTGATTCACTTCTGTAAATATTCTGGAAAAATAGTCTGTGTGTTTACGTAACAAAACTACAACTCCCACAGTCTAGCGTCATGACGTAGTTAGCACCGGTAAAGGGAGAAGAAAAATACTGCCGCTTCCGTGTTGACTTTTTGTTCCTTTATTTATTCAAGAACACATAAGAACATCATATGTTTCTTATACAAACAAGTGGACATCTGGAGTAGAGACATAGATTAATACAAAATACATTAAATACATAAATAACGAACAAAACGAAAAAACAACTCTTCTGGTGACTTCCCTACACAACCAAGCGTCTCCGCAGCGTGTTGCATTCTGGTAAATGTAGTCAATTAAACTCTACCCTTCGTGATTTCTATCCTCTATCAGCCTCTAAGTGTTTTTAAAAAAAAAATCAATGATAGTGAGTACAACAAAAGTGAAGAAGCGATTATTTTAATTCACTTCTGTAAATATTCTGTAAAAATAGTCTGTGTGTTTGCGTAACAAAACTACAACTCCCACAGCCTAGTGTGATGACGTAGTTATAGCAACGGAAAAGGAAGAACCCAGCCGCTTCCGTGTTGTTGTGGTGTTGTTCTGGGTTTCTCTCGTCTCTCATCATGAAGCTCCTGATCCACTGAAGCTTTTTCTCCCCTCCACGTCCCCATCCTTACCGACATGTCCCTGCTCCAGAGCAACAAGAAGAAGGACCGGCGGATCCTCTCCGGCTCGTGCCCGGACCCCAGGTGCGGCGCGCGGCTCTTCTTCCCCTCGGGCTCCGCGAGCATCGAATGCACGGAATGCGGCCAGCGGCACGAGCAGAAACACCTGCTGCGTGTGGAAGAGGTGACGGACCCGGACCTGGTGCTCCACAACCTGCTCAGAAACGCCCTGTTGGGGGTCACGGGGGCCCCGAAGAAAGGCTCCGAGCTGGTGAAGGTGATGGGGCTCTCTAACTACCACTGTAAGCTACTTTCCCCGGTGTTGACCCGTTACGGCATGGATAAACAAACCGGAAGAGCCAAATTGCTGCAGGAAATGAACCAAGGCGAGATGTTTGACTGCTCCCTGCTGGGCGACAGAGCGTTTCTCATAGAACCAGAACATGTGTCCACTATGGGTTATGGAAAAGACAGATCTGGGAGTTTAGTTTACCTCCATGACACTCTGGAGGAGGTGAAGAAGGCCAATGGCAGCATGGAGTGTTTGATCCCGGTCCATGTGGATGGAGACGGGCACTGTCTGGTCCACGCCGTGTCCCGAGCGCTGGTGGGAAGAGAACTGTTCTGGCACGCTCTGAGGGAGAACCTGAAGCAGAACTTCAAGCAGAACCTGGACCGCTACAAGGCGCTTTTTCAGGATTTCATCGACGCCGCAGAGTGGGAAGATATCATCAACGAGTGCGACCCGATGTTCATCCCGCCGGAAGGAGTGCCTCTCGGGCTGAGAAACATCCACATTTTCGGGTTAGCCAACGTTCTGCACCGACCCATAATCCTGCTGGACTCCCTGAGTGGGATGAGGAGCTCCGGGGATTATTCTGCCACCTTTCTACCCGGGTTGATGGCCGAGGAGAAGTGCAGGGGGAAAGACGAGAAGCTCAACAAACCCATCTGTATCGCCTGGAGCAGCTCCGGGAGAAACCATTACATCCCTCTGGTGGGGATAAAAAACACGGTTCTGCCCCGACTGCCGGCTCGTTTGCTTCCCAAAGCGTGGGGCGTCCCTCAGGATCTCATCAGGAAATACATCGAACTGGAGCCGGACGGCAGCTGTGTGATCGGAGGAGATCGTAGTCTTCAAGATAAATACTTGATGCGCCTGGTGAACGCCATGGAGGAAGTGTTCATGGAGAAACACAGCATCCACCCGTCACTCGTGGCGGACGTTCACCAGTACGTGTACAGGCGCACGGGCGTGATAGGCATCCAACCTGAGGAGGTGACGGAGGCGGCGAAAAGGTCCGTGATGGAGAACCGTTTGCATCGATGTTTGATCTGCGGCGCCTTGTCCGAACTCCACGTCCCCCCGGAGTGGCTTCTTCCAGGCGGGAAACTTTACAATCTCGCCAAATCCACTCACGGTCAACTGCGTCCCGATAAGAATTACAGCTTCCCGCTCAACAACGTGGTTTGCTCCTACGACCCCCAGAAAGACGTGCTCATCCCCGATTATAAAATGAGTTCCTTGAATACTTGTAATTGGTGTCACGGTACGTCGGTGCGTCACATCCACGGCGACGGGGCGGTGGTTTATCTGGACGGGGATCGAACCAACACTCGATCCGACGGAGGGAAATGCGGATGCGGTTTCAAACACTTCTGGGAGTCCAAAGAGTACGATAACCTCCCCGAGGCTTTCCCCATCACGCTGGAGTGGGGCGGTCGTGTGGTCAGAGAGACGGTTTACTGGTTCCAGTACGAGGTCGAGGCGACGCTGAACAGCAACGTGTACGACGTTGCCATGAAACTCGTCACCAAACACTTCCCGGGGGAGTTTGGCAGCGAGACATTGGTGCAGAAGGTGGTCAACACCATCCTGCATCACACCGCCAAGAAGAACCCGGACGAGTACAACCCGGTGTCCATCGACGGAGCTCACGACCAGCGCCTCACCGACGCTATGGACCAACAGCCGCCAACGAAGATCATCCTGACCGGCCAGGCATCTAGTTTTACTCTTATTCTACACTTAACCTAATTTTAATCTCATTTTAATCTAATTTTAATCTTATTTTAATCTAATTTTCTTCTAATTTTACTCTATTTTCCTCCAGAAATCGAAGACGCTGCACAAGGAGGAGCTGACGATGAGCCGAGCGGAGCGCAGCCTCCAGCAGAGCATCAGCGATCAGGCCTTCGTCACGCAGAGGCGCCGGACAGACAAACTGAAGCAGGAGCAGAAGGGGAACCGTCGTTCTTCATCACCTACTGGATCTCCAGAAACATCCTCCTCTTCTTCAGCGCCCGCCACACCCACCAAAACATCCTCCTCCCCCTCCTCCAATGTAAGTACTGCTTTATTGTTTTATGTTATTAAAATAGTTCTCTAAGGTAATGTAGAGAATGAAATAGTGCTAAACATAGTATATATGATACTCTAATCAAACCGTATATTCATTTAAAACAGATTAAGGTTCAATCTAAACTGGTTGAAGAAAATATGTCTCATTTAAAAACTTGATAAACTGAACCAGGAATTATTTTATACCATACATAAAAAATCTTGAATGGATAATACATGAGAGTAACACCTACGTCACTTCGGGCGAAAAGTACGGCCCCGCCCACTTTTGGGGGAAAACAAAGCTGTCGTTTGAACGGCGGTCGATACACATTCTGAAGTTTTTGCCAATCTGATCAGAAATGTTTGAAAACCGTGGATTTGTGGATCTTCAGAGAGCCCGAGTACGACGGCCGGACAGGAAAACAATCACATGAAATCAATGGAAACCGACAAGCGGGCTCGATATATGCTTAAATTACAATCAGTAGGCGAGGCCGTCATTTCACCAGCTGTTACTCTCATGAGCGAGGCGGAAAATAATAGTTGTATCGTGTCAGCCAAGCTGCTGTGTCGTCTATCGCACCTCAAACATTAAAACGAATCCAGAGTTACGTGTTTCTGGACTTCCTCTAAGAAGAAAGGACAAAGAAGAGCTCTGAGGCTTCAGGCTCGATCGCCGTTCAAATGACAGCGTTGTTTCCCCCAAAAGTGGGCGGGGCCGTAAAGTGACGTAGATGTTACTCCCATCTGTGGACATCGATCGCCTGCTGCTATATTTAACCATATATCGAGCCCGCTCGTCGATTGCCAATTATTCAATGTAATTGTTTGGCCATCGTAATCGGGCTCTCTGAAGATCCAAGAATCCACGGTTTTCTTAAAGGTCTGATCGGATTGGCAAAAACTTCAGAATGTGTATTGACCGCCGTTCAGATGACAGCTTTGTTTTCCCTCAAAAAGTGGGCGAGGCCGTCATTTTTGCCCGGAAGTGACGCATGTGTTACTCATCATGTATGGAGGAAACCAAGTAAATCCATCAAATGTATAAAAAATCAAGAGGGTTGTTTTGTGTATCACGAGAGAAAGAGAAAGGCAAAAGAAAAGTATGGTACGTTTATTTATAAAACACATTTTCAGACTCAGGTATTTCAAAGTGCTTTACGTCAACATATACACTTAATAAGAAGACAACGGAAAGGAATAACAGATTCGTAAAAACCCCCATGCATAAAAGAGATACAGATAAGATGGACCTTTATTAAATACAGTTAAAGATACAAATGAAATGATATACAGTTAAAGTAACACTAAAATAAGAAATGAATTCAAATGAACGTCTCGACACATTTGGGTCATATTAGATATATTTACGTGAATGTGTGAAAACAGTGATTTTAATATTTGTTTTGCACCCAGCGCCTGGTGAAGGTGATGGGGCTCTCTCTGGCCAACTTGAGGGCCCACGCAAAGATATATGATGAAGCCCTCTGTTTCGCGAGTGTCGACGGGG